CCTGACTCAGAACCTGACTCAGAACCTGACTCAGACCCTGACTCAGAACCTGACCACCATCTCATCAGAGGGTCGAGGCTTCGACTGGAACAGTGAGCGCCTCGTTCCTTCACTTCTGTCGACTTCAGGAATTCGGTGACGTTCCCACTGCAGAAACTCACACAGGGATGAAGGCGGAGTTTTCTACAGAGTTTTTCATGACCTACTTTATACTCGGTCTATATTTTACACCTCCAATCATCTGGAATCACAGTCGGATGTTCTGGTTCAGCAGACGCTGAACATGTGCATGGCAAGAATAACAGAAACAACGATATGCTGACAGATGCATAATGTCCAAAACGCTGCGTTCACACCGAATGTCTCTGTAGGAAAAGACAAGAGGGGGACGACAACTGATGGTTGAACCAGTTGAGAAAAGGTCACAGAGGAAGTTTCACTGTCTTCTGCCGGCGTCTGGAAGTCCGATGGTTCTGAGCCCCACCAGTCTGGTGACCCACCGGCTGGGATCAGTGCCAGGACCCGTCTCCAGTGACTTTCAACAATGGATAGAATAAAGTTTGATGTGTAGAGAGGCGTGAACGCTCCATCACAGTTTGCCTGCATACGTACAGGACAGTAACGATGCTTCACATGTAAACTTGCTCAAGTGGTTAATGTTGTGGAGCCGTCGTCAGTAAAACAACTTCACACATAGATGAACAAAGGTTCTGTGTGTAAATCCTGAATCACGCCTTTTTTCATCACTTCCTCCTAAAAGCAACAATCATGAGCCGACCAGCTCAGAGGACATCACCGTATTTATATGACTTCCATGAGACGATGCAGATACTGTGAGTGAAAGGTACAATCACAGATGTGTGATGAGTCTGGTGAGCCGGCCTCAGACTGTCCTCATGGTTTTAATCTTCATCATCATCATCACTGGATTTATCTGACAAATGATGATTCCAGGTGAACTTAAGGCATCTTATCTTCCATAAGTGCTTGATGTAAATAACAGAAACAGCTTTTACGTTTTTTTTTACCAGGTGATGTTCAAAGATTGGTTTTGGCAAAAGCTGCAAATGTCATAAAGGAGTTTTCCTGTTTGGATCAAGGAGAATTCATAATTCACATGTGGACGCACCACAAACAGGAACCGTCCCAAAAACTCTGGATCTCTCGTGTGTTTGAATTTGTCGTCCCTCACTAACAACTCTACATTTCAACAGCCCTCAGGTGACGGTAGAAAGTTTTCAAAAATCACAAAAACTCTAAGAATCGGTTTTAGGAAAAGAATTCTTAGAATTGTTTCACTTCACGTTTAGAAATGTTGCTGCTGTGAGAAATAACATTCATGTGACCGTCTGTGGGTCGAGACACAGCTTCGGAAATATAGTTCAAGATTGGTCTGTTTGTCATCCAACGTCTAATTGAAACATCGTGTCACACACTGTGTTCAGACCTGATATCACACCAGCAGCAGATTATTCAGTCACAATCACATTTTTCTGTTCACTGCTTCAAACCACTGGGGATCAAAAGTTCTTTCTACAAGCAGCACACGGTGGTTTCAGAGATTTGGTATCAGCAGCTCCTTCACTTATTGTTTGTTCGTTCTGTGGAAGTTACGCTCCAGCCTCTCCAGAGCTCGAGCTGCAGCGGCTGGTTGGTAACAGACCTAGTTTTTGTTTTGGCTGATGTGTTTGGAGCTGCAGTAAAAGTCAGATTACATCATGTCTACGTCCATCAAGGTTTCTCTCATCTGTCGCTCCATCGTAGCACGAAGGGTTCAGCTGCTTCTGGCACTATCCTACCCAAGGTTTCTACGTATCCCTCCGCCCATCACGAGCACTCTACCCGTCTTTGTTCCTAAATTCTTTTCCTTTCGGCCTCATCCTCTTCATCTCCCTCCCCCCCGCCCCAGGCAAGTCTTCTAGTCGGAGGGCGGGAGGGCTCGTGCCGCTAGAGAGCTGTAATCTGAGTTAATTCTGTGTTGGAGTTCCCTGTGCCCTGCGTCTCCCTCCGCTGCTGGGGGTCTACCCCCACCAAGGGGAGCTCCACGCCTAGTCATGCGGGATTAGGTGTCCCTCCACCGAGCCCCCCACCATCTCCAGCCTTGCAGCTGTAGGCGGCTGCCACCTCCCTGGCGATGCTCCTCATCCTGCCTGACTGCTGGGTGTCGAGGCGGAACGGTGACGGGAGGCAGAACTCGCGGAAGCAGCGCTTGAAGTTCTCATCCAGGAAAGCATAGAGCACAGGATTCAAGCTGCTGTTGACGTAGCCCAGCGCGATGCAGAAGTGCATCAGGACCAGTGTGAACAAGCTGCTCAGGTTGAAGCCCAGCGACTGAGCCAGGACCATGATCTGGATGGGCGTCCAACACACCACGAACGCTGCCACCACCACCAGAACCATCCTGGTGATGCGCCGCAGGTTGCGGTCCTTTTCCTTGGAGCCAGACAGGATGCGGACGCTGCGTAGGCGCTTGACCATCAAGCTGTAGCAGATGCTGATAATAGCTACAGGGATGAGGAAGGAGAAGAAGAAGACGCAGGTGCCGAACACAGGATCCCAGTGACTCCTTGGTTCAGGTAAAACCATGATGCACTCAACACCTGGATGCATTGAAAAGAAGCAAATAGACACAGTTATGTTGGAGATGGTGTTTGGGTCAAAGATTTACTAGAATCAGTTAAAGAATAAAAGCACAGAAACTTTGCTGGTTTTATTGTTTTAGAGCTGAACACGTGATCAATTATATGATTGTTGAGCGAACTGGAGACAACGATGCATCTCAAACCTCTGCGATCGGTTGTATCTGAAATGAACAAAGACCCGAATTCACAACTTCCTCCAGGATCAAATTAAACATCTGCTTCAAAGATTTCTACCATTTTGTTCCACAATGGACAAAATCTTTTTCAACCAAACCGAGAAAAACTAGAAGCACAAAAAGAAAATCAATTTTCTCATATGACAAAGGTGCAGTTCCAAAAATAAACCATTATTCCCTCAATGAAGTCAAACTGGGATCAAACCCACTTTGTCCATTACAGGGAGCAATGTGGATGATATCTGAATACTAATGTGCACTGAACATGTAAATGAGGCCGAATGCTATAATAACATCAGAGGGATTCAATCTTCATCTATTGTTGGAACATGATGACAAAGGTAAAAGGAGAGAAAGGATGAAAGGATGAATAAAGAAAGAAAAGAGAGACAGAGTCTGAATGTTCATGTCGCAGATTCTTCATGAAAATAAGAAAGAACAAGTATCAGAACTTTGCAGTGACGTCAAAACATGTCCCCGTCCTCCTGATAGAGCTTATCTGGACACATGAATGTTTGGACACAGGAGGACAATCCTCTTCACAGACAGGAACCAATCGTTTATTTAGAGCAAAGCCGATAAAAATGATTCATCACACTGAAGATGACATCATCAGTGTTGTTGGTCACAGCTCCTGCTCGGACATGAAAAATGATATGCTAACACTAATGCTAAAGGCAGAACATTTTGATCCATGTAGCATGTAGCATGTAGCATGCACAACGACAGGGACAAGTTAAAAACATGCTGTCAGTGTTAAAGTTGTAAAATGTGTCTTTAGGGGACCATGAAGTTTTTTATCAAACTTCATCGTCAATCCATCCAACGATATCCGTCTGGACCGAAGACGTGGACACAGACAGACACTGACACGAGTCAAGCTCAGAAATCTCCATCATGGCTCTGAAATACATGTGACAGTCGTCTGCAGATGGTTTCACCGGACAACACAAAATTTTCTGTCTTCAATTATTGATTGAATTTTTCTAAATCTAAATCTATTCTGTGCCGGAGAGAATTGAAAACTTGTGTTAATGAAATGTGTTGATTATCAAAGGAAGACAACACAGTGTGAGTCTGGAGCACGAAGACGGAATCTTACATCGAACAAAGACATTTCATGTTTTAACCATAACTGAAGATTTGTTTGTGTTGTTTTATCCTGAGGCGACTTTTAAAGGGCAAGAAATCAAAGCTGAGTTGAAGTGATGTAAAGAGGAGATGAAGTGAAGCAGGAAGTAGAGAACCTCTGACTGATTATTATCCTGTTCGTTAGTGTTGATTAAAGTGAAAGCTCGAAGACAAGAGCTTTAAAAAAAACTTATTCTGATTTCAAATCTTCATCTTAAAAAATTGTATCTGTATTTTTTCAAGACAAAATCCTCACATGACGTCTCACACCTCTGATTTAATGCTTATGGTTTTCAAAGAAATAAAATGTTAAGGACACACAGGCAGACACACACATAATCACAATAACGTCAGATCAAACAAATCGAGGGGCCGGGAGAGAGTGGATGTATTATTCCGTTTGGTGGAAGCTTTTATGTGACGCACCGTCACCGGTGCACATGATTTACAGTCGGTAATAAAACCCGAAGCTCCATTACTGCACATTCCAGCCGCTGATCAGAGACACAGTAAAAGTGTGTGAGAGGACGGGAGCAGTAATAACACACCGACAGTTCATGTGTTTTATAAAAGTGACTGTCGATACGAGTGGGTTCCCGACGGAGATCTGGAAGAAACAGCCACAGAAAACCCAAACAAATAGAATAATGGAATCGATCCCTGCAGGGAAATAATCTGTGTTGACCGAGGGTCAGAGGCCAAACGGAGCAACAACCAAACGTAATGCTGAATTCACACTTTTCTTTTCCTGTGTGACGAACATCACAGCCAACGTGCCTGAAGACGATCGTCTCAGTTCTGCCTCCATGTTCTCACCCGTCTCCGTCCGGATGGATCTGCTTCCCTCTGTTTATCAAACGCTGCTGACAGTTCTGACAGCGAATCTCACAGACACTTGGATTTATTATCACTGATGTCTTTCTGCTCACAGATGGGCAGCTCATCTGCACACGGATACACACCTCAACATGCAGACACCAACAACTGCAGCCGAGCATTAAAACATCTGAATATCCTTCTTCTGGTCTGAGTCCTGAAGAAACACGTAATGTTCCACCACAACAAACTTCCCAAGAGATTCAAATCACGTCCACACGTCATTTCATCGTATCAAACAGATATTTCTCTACATCCAAGGCACCAGAGAAGAGAACGTGTCAAAGACGCCAGAAATAAGAATAGAAACAGAATCTAGAATCGTTAAGATCAAAATAAAAATACTGGCTGTTTTATAAATGTACAATAAAAAGATAAAAGTTGTGTTATTTTAAAAATTCCTTGTAAAACACAATCTGTGCAACAGTTTTTCACACACACACACACACACACACACACACACACACACACAGCAGTGTCTCTCTTTGGATGTTCTTCAGTAAAACGTCGAGCGCCTCACAACAGAAGGTCGAGTCCTAATCACTTGACAGCTGTTAGCAGCAATCACTCGATGGCTACTGGAAATATTTCACCTTCTCAAATGTCGGTGGACTTTTCCTCCCGTGTCAGTTCGGTGACAGACGGGTCTGGATTCAGACAGAAATGATGAGGATTCATAGAAAACGTCTCTCAGAGACAAATATACAGAAAACCAGTGACTTCCTGCTGAGCTGTTGTCTCCTGATTCGTTATCTGGAGCTTTCCTCCTTATTTTCTTCTCTTGAAGCATCTGATGTGTCGAATGAAACACATTGTCGTTCTCTTCTTCTCCTTCAAATGTTTAAAAACAGGTTTTCTCTTTCTCGTCTTTTCTTCTATTCTCTCTCTCAGTAAGAGAACTTTGTTCATGCATCCAGATGAATTTCCACCTGAACTCATGACAATGATATTTACCAGGAGCATTAGACGCCTTCTTACTGAATGAGGGATGATAAAGGAAACATGATTCCACTACTTAAATCATGTGGAATATCCTTCACCATGGCTCAGTAAGTGAAATCCACTTACTGGGTCACTGATAAAGCAACGGAACGTGAAATGAAATCACGCTGCACATCATTTACTGACTTTCTAATGAAAGTACAAGGTTCCCTGATATTAACTGGAGTAAAACAGTAACAGAGCTGGATCTGATCTGCAGGACGTCATCGTGAGAGCAGGTGAGACTCACCCCGGCTCATTATTCTGTTCATGTCCTCACACACACAATTTACAATGATCACGAGCAGATACACGAGTTAGCGTCGACTGATTTTACAAACAAAAAGTACTTTTGATGACGACCTTCGTGATGTGGAAATAAGCCATGACACGTTTAACAGGAGGATTAATAAAGAATCACGCAAACAATCGCCCCCTGGTGGCTGGCTGCAGTAAACAACATGTATTTTAACCAGAAGTAACCACATTTGGAGGAGCAGGGGTGGAGCCTGACTGAGAGCTGGAAGACACGCCCATCTACTTAAAGGGATAGTTCACCCAGAAATAACAATGACGTGTTTCAGGTGTTAACAGAGTTAGAGCGGAATCCAACGGAAGTGAGCGGAGATCGATTCTTCAGACGTAACAAAAGAACAGAAAGAAACACAACACGCCTCCATCCTGCTCCCGTGATGTCATCACGTGTCCACAAGCCCGACATTCAAATTCAATGGGAGTCAATCTGAGTCATTTGCACCGTGTCCACTCAATGTCCACTGTGATCCTCCGAGCTCTCCTGGAAATCAGCAAATCACAGGGCAGACATACATCTGCATGTCGTCATGTCCTGAGACTGGAGCAGGACGCTGGAGTCAGAGGACAAACTGAAGCTGAAGCTCCCAACGTCCCATCCAACTGTCCTGGTGGCTTCGTGAGGTCTCTGCAGCTGTGACTGCAGGTTATAACTCTGTCTCCTCTCTCTTCAGAGGAGACATGAAGACCAGCAGGGACCAGAGGAACATTCCTCCTGAACGTCAGTTCACTCAGTCATGGGACAACGAACAGAGGAAGAGACAGAGAGGGACAATAGAGTGCAAACCTCTGCCAAGGTTAAGTAACCTGGTTCTTAGAGTAGAAGTGCTCTATCCCCTCAATGATTGGTCTGTTGATCTGATTAATGGGTCACATCCACCACTGTAGAAGCTTGTGAAGCTCCTGAAGCTCCTGAAGCCTGTGGAGCTTTAGAAGCTTGTGAAGCTTGTGAAGCTCCTGAAGCTCCTGAAGC